GTCCAAGATTAACCTTCAGGGTGGATATAGCTCACTAGCAGTCTCGCACAGAGGACCTATCCATGTCATCATTTACCCAGAATGCTTTGCATGTAAATACAATGGGCCTGTCCGTTTAATATATTTTTAAACTTTTAGTTTAAAAATGATAAAAACTGTAAATCCTACTGTATTTTTAGTCTTTAATTTACAGTTAAAATAAATGTTTGTTAAATAATGTCTAATGTTACAACTAATCATGGATCCCTTTAAGGTGTCTGCAACTGTCAAGATTGTAGAAGAATTAAAGAAATTCTTGATTGTAACTAACTGATAATTTTTTTTCAATTTTTTTGGTAATAGTTGACTGTATCAGACAATGAAATACAACTTTTTACATGCAACAAAAAATGTAATTGTGACTAGTACCAATACTGAAAACAAAATGTCAATATCTTGACAGAACCACATTCAGCAGAGAGTTTAAGAGAGCCTGCTTTACCTGAATTCCATAAAGGAACTGTTCAGGTTCGTTCTCTCCATCCGACTCCTCGTCCGTCCAACACTGTCCTTTGATGTCCTGTGGGCCCACGCATTGTAAAAAAGACCATTATAAAAGAGTGGAAAGAACACSCAATCTCTTCCTAACATCCTTTCAACTCGCATTTCTCTATTTAGCTGTTCGTTCAACTGCTTCAAAACACTGCTTTATATAACATCTCCAAAGGAAATGACAAACAGCTTTGATTTGTTTCAAAAGGAAAAAAATATCCTCTGAATGATCACTTCAAAAGAAAACCTGACTGAAAAAAAAGGTGTGCTGTAAAATATGAAAAACAGACGTTTTGTCATTTTCATGAAAGCACCAAAGGTGCAGCTGAACAAACAGTTGTCTTAAAGTTAGGGTGGTAAAATATTTCAATGCAAATATCTGTGAAWCTCTATGCAGCACTTGTTGTTTAATCTGCTGCGCAGTTTTCTAAATCTCGAACAAAGCGGTGACTTTGTGACACGGCCTAATCAGACGCACTGATTACGCCAATAGGACCCCAGCTGTCTTACCATTGGATCTGCTGTTCATAGGGCTCTCTCAGACAGGTTTGGGCCTTCGATTACTGCCAACCATCGCAGCCTATCTTCCAGGTGAAAAGAACGAGAACAGATAACCGCAGCGCTTAGTCTGACCACCTGTTTTTCTCTCACTCCTCAGAGTTACGCAGCCTTGGGAGGGGGAAAAAACAATGAAACATAAACAGATTCAGCTGAGGAAGAACAACATGAAACAAAGAGGGCATTGCTAGTGATGCCATGCTCTGTCAGCGGTGCCCTCCTCCTTTTCTTTTGTTTAACTCGCCTGCACTTCACCTTGCCATGTATCCTAGCAACAGCCATTTCTGCCTCCTCTCAGAGTGGCATTAATCACTGTGGAGAAAACGTGTGGGAGATATGTGCTGTATGTGCAGTACCCAGGATGTTTCCACTTCTTTGTTTAGATTTTTTTTTTTCAGGAAATCATTCTAACACTATCAAAGCACAAGAGGGTTATATTTTGTCTTTATAAAACGCTGTAAGGAAACAAAGCATACTGTGTGTGAGCACACTGTCTGTGTTTTATAGCTATTATAGCTGGTAAATAGATTAAAAAAACACTTATGTTACAGAATTCCCAGAGATAACAGCAGAAGTGCATACTGTGTCTACAGAGTGTTATATAAGTGAATGATGGCTAGCAAACTGAATACAAGGTAGATATTTCATTTTGTTTTTTTTTAACTCTAAACTGCATCACTGCCATGTAAAAACATGAAAGTCGGTTTCTTTTGTTGAGACATCACCTGTAAAACATACAAACAATCACCGTGGCATCCTATAATCTTTTGCAAATGTGCAAAAAACATATTAGAATTGCAACAACACAATACATATTACAGTTACTCTACTGGGGAGGAAAAAACTCAGTAAGTAAATGTTTAACATAATTAAAGCAAATAAAAAGTGAATCTCACAACATGATCAAAACATCAGATGAAACATTCAATTTGAACATGCCACGCCTGCTTTTTGCACAGTGARTCTGTGTTCTGCTGATGAATAAACAGTTTTCCTTTTGGGATCAATAAAGACTCTTTCTATAAAGGTATTTAAATCACATGCATGGCTACAGTGTAGTTGCCATCATCAGTGTGTGAATGTGAGTGTGAATGGGTGAATGTCTGTTAGTGTAAAGCGCTTTGGGGTCCGGAGGGACTTGAAAAGCGCTCTATAAGTTCGGTACCATTTACCATTTACCATTTTTACCACATAAAGGTCAGTATTTTTTTAAAATGGCTAATCAGTCATTTTCTCTAACTGACAGAGTGTCTGCTCAGTGCTCATGCAACTGCTCCCGGTTGAGCTTATGCCAAATTTTCTTTTTTTTTTTGTTTGTTCTGAAGCCATTTTTTTTAGTAAATCTTTCTTTCTGACAATAACTGCATCCTAGTAAACAGTGCCCTCCCCCCCCCCCTTCCAACGAGCATGTCGTCCTCCTCAGCTCCTGATCCTTTCTCTACAAAGCCTGCTGCCATGTCCTCCCTCCTGCTAGCATCCACAGCTACCCCCCACAGCTCCCCGCACCCCCTGGCCTCTGTCGTCTCACATACCAATGGAGTCACCGACAAACCGAGTCCATCCACCTCTCGACCCCCCCCCCCCCCCCCCCGCAACATCACTGCACACACAAATGCGTGTTCGCCATTCCTCCTCCTCTTCAGAAAACGGTTTAGCACAAACACAGACGCACTCGGGCGGATTTTTTTTCCTCCCACCCCCACCAYCACAATCCATCCACACTTACCTCCGGAGAGGATGGAGACTGGGATGCTGTCCTTGCTTCAGCTGCTGCTCCCCCTCTTAAAGGGCGCACCTGCCCCTCTCTCTCTCTCTCTCTTTCTGTCTGTCTCTCTCCCTTTCTTGCGCTCCCTCTCTCTTTCAGTGGTCGTTTTCCACTGAAAAGATGACAAAAAAAAGCTCATTAAAACACAAAGCAAAACCAGAGCACGGTCGTCACAATTTCTACGATGCTTGCAGTGAGTGTGTGTGTGTGCGTGTGTGTGTGGGTGCAAGCGTGCCAGCTGGTGTGTGTGAGTCTATGTGTTTATCTATTGCAGATCTCAGTTCTTACTGCTCCTTATATTTTTTTGCCTGACAACACAGAGGGGTCTGGGCATGCTCAGTGGGACTAGGCGAGCCGGTCACGTGACTCGCAGCTGACTGCACTGCTGCTGAGATATAAAGAGGGAGAAATGTCTCTGATCTGTACGTGCTTCTGACAGTGTGTGTGCGTGCCTGTGTGTGTAAGAGAGTGTGTGGTTGCGTAAGTCAGTATTCATTATTGTGTCATTGTGCTCCAGAGGCAGATTCTATATTTAAATGCTTTCATGCTTTTTGCCTAAATTTATTTAACAAGACCAAAAACTGCACGTCTTGCACTGAGACAGTTCAGCTGCACTTCATGCCATGAACTCAAAAGCTTACAGTTAATGTTACATTGTTTATATTACATTTAAATAGTTAAATCATTTCATTTTTCATCAGAAACATTTTAAAATGTATTTTTTTCAAGACTTACAAAACGTTTTGTTGTGTGAGCTGATGATCATCGGACCTGCGGACTAATCAGTCTTTAGCCTTATTGTCTGAAGGTGTCTGTTTAAGTTCCCACAGATTATTGAGCAGCTGTCAGGCCAAYTGTCCCTTCAGTGTGTCTGTATCATATCACAATTTATACATTTTAGCACTTTTGCTTGAGCCATGTTATTATAAACTATGGGCACTTGTTCTTGGTGGCACGATATAAAAATGCGGGGGAACATTTTTAATTTAGTCGTTTTGTTATGTTAGAGTAATTCTGCAAAAACTCCTTTTGCCATTCAGTAAATCTGTGAGACTAATCTACGAAGTTTTCAGCAGGAAAATCCCAGTTAAGTATCTAACTATTAAAATTGCAACTCATTTATCTATTTGCAGAAAAAAAGTAGAATTAAGAGCTTCTGATTATATTTTAATTTTCTTGCCCTATTAGTTTATCATCGGTAGCTGCTGTGACAGTAATACAATAATATGTTACAAGCATCAAAACTGCATATCTGAGATTTATCCGAGTACACACAGTGTCTCGCTGCACCCTGAAGCCCAGGGGTCACCAGGAATTATTGGTGATTGACAGCCAGGAGTGTCGATTGCAGACACAGAGACTGGGCTGGGATTCGTTCCTCACCTGGACAGGTGCGTGCCCATTGGCTGTAGAGGCCTGAGCGGTGTGGACACATGCAGGGGCTCTCGGCACCCATTCAGGTAGCAACATGGGCAGTGGGAGTAGTGGAGCTGCCACAAAAACTGGGAACAGGTGAGAACTGAAACACACAAGACGRAGGAGGAATGAAGGAGTCTGGACTTTGTCAGTCTGGGAAAAAATAATACAGTTTTATTTAAGTAAGGTAAGAACAGCTCTTTGGTGAGTTTCAGTGTTTAAATCTCAGTGTTATTATGAGTCAGTTGAGAATTTACTTCATGCCAATGACCAATCCTGGCAACCTGGGCAAAGCTGATTATGACGATTATTCAACCTGGRAAATATTTGCAGCATAATCAGTAGTCAGTACTAATAATAATCTTTACAAATGTGTTGAATTATCTGTATTTATCATGTTACAAGCCTTTTTAACCTAGAAACAACAGCTGTGGTTTTGACAGTGTAATTCGTTACCCACAAAATGTTTGAACTCTGACCTCTTTAATGTGGTGCAGGTTTTCCTTGGTATTGTTTTGATAGGCCTACATGGGCATTATTTTCTTTCAGACTTTGCATTGATGATGGGAGTGTTTGACTGCTCTGTGGTCTTTTCATAATTCTCATTTGAGTCAGCGAATGTGGGGGGAAAAAAATCAGTTTCTGTTCTGAGTCACTCACTGACAAATTGAGTCTGACTGATTTAATCCCTGGCACTGACACCACGCACGAGATGAGTCCAGGAGACGGGTGTTTATGAACAGGCAGTGTAATTAACCATCCATCTCCATTATGATGAACTTGCGACCGGCATGGGGTGCGCTCTGCCTCTTGCACGATGACCGCTGGAGATATGTTTAAGCTCTCCTGTAATCCTGCACAGAAAAAAACAGGTATAGAAGAATGGATGCATGATTCTAAAATGTTGTTGTTTAGTAGTTCAAGATTCATTTGCTCACRTTTTCCTTCATAATTTCTCAAATGTTTTAAGTTAGTAGTTCTGGCTACCCTCACATCAGCACAGATGCAATTTTTTTTAACTGAGTTCTGATAAGAAGACTAGTTTCCATTCAACCTATTTATATTCAAAGTAAATGCCCATACTCCTGGATTTTTTCTAAAATGATTATTATCTAACCCCTAAAGCATAATACGTTGCCCTCTAGTGGGAATTCAGTAGCCGTCCGCACAAAAGCACCAGTCCAGTCAGTGGAATGCTGTTTCATTATTCAACAGTAGATGGAAGTATAGTGTCGCATTCTGCACGTCAGTAAATTTCTCTTCAACTTATCACTGAACTAACTGTAAACCTTAGCCAAGCTGTGATTTATAACCAGTTTATGACAAAACTTTGTACCATAAAAAGTCATCACATAAACAAATTTGCTGCCGCCACAATCAATAATTAAACAAACCTATGGTTTGTRTATCAGTTACATTTGTCACATATTGTTACGTTTTTAAGTGGCCAACAAATGTTTAGGCACTTACACCAACCAAACGACTACGTTTTCTTTTGTTTTCTTCTATTAAAAAAAAAAAAAGAAAGAAAGAAACAAGCCTCCATCACGCAGTCACATGCCGCACTTCATGCTCCTGTTGCATTCGTGCAACCTGATTGGCCGCTTACTGAACCGAGCACTTCTATCACGTATTGGCATATCCTTCCGCGTTGTTCTTCGTGGGTTCTTTTTGCAAAAATCTTTGCGTGTAACAAAACATTACCGAAATGCAACAAGTGATTGGTATATTTTTCGAGTGACAGTGGTTGGAATTAAAAGGAAAATTTGTTATGTACGGTTGTTATTCATATGTATCATGTCGGATGGATATGCATCAGCATCCTCAGAAAGTAGTTCCACTGAGTGAGGAAGTGGAGATCACCTTGAGCTGTTCTCTCACTCTGCCAGCAGTCGCATCGGGCTCAGCATTGCTAATTTGATTCAAGGTTGGTATCTTAAACAGGGCCTTCAGTTAAAATACTTTCTGGTAGTTTATAACCTTTCCAATGTTGTCTGTTTTTTATTATATTGCTGTTTTTGTGTCGTAGAATCATCCCTTTCGTTTGTAAATTTGAAAATATATTATTTAACTAATGATTGCTATATATTTTTAAATAAACTAATCATTGACGTGCTAATATCTGGACGATTGAAATAAACAGTTTGAGTTTTTCCATCCAGTTAGCCTTGTTAAAACGATGAGATGAAGATGGAGTAAATGAACGAGGGAAACAAACAAGCAAACCCTTTTATTGTTCTTTTTTTTTTTACTACTAAACAGTTTTATCTAATTCAGGCATTAGCGTTAACTGAAAGCACCTATATATGTGCTGTAGTTTTCTTATTATATGTATTAAAAACGTCCTTAATGTGATGTTAGCCGTTGAAGAAACGCTTCCTGGTGTGGGTGTGGCTTTTCCGTTCACTTGCCCCCTATTGGTCAATCGCGGAGAAGCCTTTAGAGCAGGAAAATGTGACGCAGGATGTGAGAACGTGACCTTTACCGCATCGTCTGAAATTTAACTCGAGTCGTACTTAAATATATGATATTGACAGAATTTAATTGGCAACATAAGTTACCTAAAGCGTTATTGGTGATTATTTAATAAAAGTCGTGTGTTATTGTGACATTAGTTTTGTTTATCGCCGTTTTGTATTCTTACACGATTTGCTTGTTCTGCAGTGCTTCATTCAGCTGTCATTCCTATGTTATTTGATCGAGGAAATCCTTAAGCTAACTCGAATCATTAATGTTATAGGAAAAGCACTTGTGGTTTGAAACGTGTTAGCCTTAGCCTCCCTGCATTAGCATGCTGCAGTGAGTGAAAACAGGACTTATTCACACTGAATACAATATGATGGGGGCAGGTCTAGACTTGGACTGCAGTGTTTGGCATGCGATTTCATTTCAATCTTATGTCGTGCTTTCTCTTTCTCAAAACTAATATTTAAATGTTGCCAAAAGTGGCTCATTTAATTTTAATTAGTAATTTAATTTACCTAATCAGCATCCACAGTCAAGGTGACCAATACTTCAGCAGCAGAGCTTGTTTATGGTTTGTAGTGTTGCAAGAAACAATTGTTTGGTGCACAACATAATTTTGGAGGCCCACGTTGTTTTTCCTGTTTAGTCTGTTGGACRAATTCAGTCTTTATCCTCAGGGAGTCAGGTAGGTGATGGGTGCATTTTAAAGTGTACACAGTTTGGGTGTTTTGTGAATATGCAATAATAAAAATGTAAATTTCAGCCTTGCATCCACAGAAAAATCGTTGTTTTGTGGAGCCTCAAAAGGATATTTTTGGAAACCAAATTCCAGAGTGAAAACATATTTAAATGCCGTCTTTGCATTTTCATTAATACAGCATAAGTGCATACAGTGCAACTTTTTAAAAACTCATAGTCTCAAAATTTATCTAACTTGTGACCCCAACCATGACAGACATGACAATAAAAATAATAGGGCTGTGTATCACACAATATTGTGATACTGTAAGCAAAATAATATATTGTGATGCATTGCCATGTTTTTTTTTTCTCCAAAAATTCTAATTCAAAAACTTAGTACATTTTATATATACTTATGTTTCATATTTCTTATTCATCCATGGTTTCAATGTTTAGGCCAAATGTGCCATTACATAGTTTCGTAATATGGGTGGCAGCTTTTAGATTTTTAATAATAGGTGGTTGATATAAAAAAAACAATATGGTCGCCCACCACACTAACAATATCCCTTGTCTTGTTCTAAAGTTCAACAAAAGGAACCGCAGGCATATTGCAAATGCCGGTTCTTATTTTTCTTCTCGTATTTATAGTTTTCGAGCATCTGCTTCACATCCTGATGCTGGTGCATTTTTGTGACAGGCAGCATAATAGTGCTGCATACAGGCCTGGCATGGTTACTACAGCATGTTGGGTAATTCTGTGTTCTCATGTAGATTGAAGCATTTCTACAAACTGCAAAATTAGGATATTTTTAGAAACGTCTAAGAAACTTTTTTTTTGGAGGGTGGGGGATTGCTGCAGTTTTGAGTGAAGGTGAAGGAAGCTGAGCCTGTGGTACTGAGCCTTTGCTGTTTCACCCCTTGTAGGAACACTAATAATCTTCGATGACATTTTGACCACTGCAATGTACAACTTTAGTACCATCTTTTGGGTAATACTTTGTCGCTCACTCATTTGAAGTCACCTACCTAATGTGTGCATCTTTTATGCAGCAGCACACCTAGAGTCTTGAGTTTTTTGCCAGAGTGTATACCAAGTATTAGACTTCTACAAACCAACCCTCCACTCTGTCGGTTATATTTAGCATAGGTTCTATATTTAGTCTTCAGCCCATATGACCTTGGCTAACAGTAATATTGGTGGGACACTGTTCTGGTGTTTTATGATGGTGGTCTCGTGTGTCCAGTGGATCAGGTCATGGCGACTGTCCAGTTACAGCAGACGCTCTTCGTGCCCTTTATCCTCATTGAATGGATTTGCACTTGAGCTCTTAAAAGAGTTGCACATGTGCGTACGCGCTGCAGCAGTCGATTTTGCTGTTGCCAACAGTAGATTTTTAGACTGAAGCTCAGTAGCTTGTTCACGGGCACTGGAAGCTCCAACACGCTGGGCACGCTTTGGAGATCTTTGTTAGTAAAGTGCTTTGTTGTCTCCAAGAGGAAGCACGGGATCTACTTGGAACAGTATGTGAAGTAATTTAGTAGTGATTCCTTCATTTGAGTGAATGATTTAAGGCTTCAACTATTCTTGAGAGCTAACTTGAATTAGCCCGGTCACAACCGCAGCACGTGATGTGGATGTTGCTACTAAACACTGCTCAGGTTATTTCAAAAAGATGGAGAGGGATTGGAGAGGATTATCTGAAATCCACCTTCTAAAGTAGTAGTGCATCTGTGTCAGTGTTAACATTGCTACTGATGACCTGTTGTAACTACTCACAAGTTGTCCTGAGGGTCAGGTGTGACGTTAAACTCTGCCTGTTTTTTGCACAACAACCAGGACCTTGTAAACAGAACTGGACAGGCAGACCTCTAACTGTCTTGTTTTTTATTTTTAACTGATCTTTGAAGGTTATGAGGAGAATTGGTCCAAAATACTGTTCTCCAAAAATACAAATGTCACCTCTATATTTTACTGAAATTGACATATAAAGTTATATCAATGCTAGCAGTATGACACTTGGTAATTCCTTAGTTGGTGTTGCCTGAAATGAATGGGTGCATTAATAGTAGTAAGATTTTGATATATTAGCCTGTTACTGCTAAAGTCTTTGGTTTTTAGTCCAACAAATGAGCAGAACAGATTAAAAAAATGCATAAGTGATGGCTCATTTCTGACTTTTTGTTCCCCTTCATCAACCGTATAGTCCATGTGGACCTGATGCTTTTTTTCCTAAACCAAGTAKTTTACCTTCACTCCTCACCTACACCACCCTGCAGTCTTTCCATGTGGTTCGGGTCAGTGTGTGTCACAGTAGTGAGATGTGTCTGCACTCACGTACGATCGTGGTCTGCCCCATTCATGGAAATGTTACATCATCAGTCTGTAGCTGCAGTTGGTTTAGCAGGGCTGCTGGAATCCCTGCTTCTGATGACTGTAATAAAGACGAGATGAGTAAGAGGAAGTCGGACCACTGGTGTTGCTCATGGAAGCAAACACGTGTCTTAATTGTGCACCACAACTTTGGTCTGTCTTGTAATGTACTGCCTTTCATTTTATTACAACTACAGTATTTGCTGTGTAAGTTATACAAAGCATTTGCACTTGACTGTAAAGACTGATGAAAAGATGAAGGGGTTGTTTCTCCCTAACAATTTCTCTTTGTTCCTCAGACAATAAGAGTGTTTTAGGTCAAAATGCTCCGCCATGTATAATTAAAGCTGAAGGGAACTTCTGGGTGGTTTAGACTGGAGTGAGTTGGCACCAGAGTTGTCATGCTACACATGTTGTGTTAATGGTTTTAATTATGGCTGCACAATAAAAAAAAAATTGTCATTGCTATAACAGCCAATATCACAAAAAACTGCGTAAACTGCAAGAAATGGTTGACTCAAAAGTTTACATTTGAGTTTTGTCACTCAGATGGAAGCTCGAAGTATTTCACCAAACGGAGTCCTTTATGTATTTGGCCAATTGGATGACTCTSTTCATATTTTTGGGGAAAAAAAATCATGCTGGAATGGAAATGATAGTTGTTGTTTTTTTGTTTGTTTGTTTTTTGTTCATTTTTGACTATGAACCCAGAGCTTCAAGTATTTTTAATTGAAAATTGAAATCTTCTTGTTAAAAAAAAACTCAATTTAAAGTCACAGCAAGTAGTCTCTGTAAGTTATGATATATCTACTGTTTTTTTTTATGATTTTTATTTTGACTTGTCATTAGTGAGCTGTTCTGTAAATGTAACCTCTAAAGTCCTATCACAGGTTCAGCCTTCCCTCATCTTTACAGATAGTGTTAACACCATGCTCAAATACACCTTTCTGTTGGTTATGGTTTTTGTCAATGAATTGACTCAAGGTGTTGAGCCTTTTACTAATAAAACAGGATTTTGCACATTTTTTCTCTTTCCTGCCACGTGGAGTGTGTGTCATAAAGAAACCTTGGACATTCCACCATTGTCGCATTATGACTGTGTTGATGCTATGAGTGACTCAACTAGGAGTGGGTGTGGGGAAATGATGTGAAATACAGTGAAAAATTAGTTTACTTTTCAGTTGATTTGCACAACCTTGAAACCAAGAGTGAAAAAGAACAGATTTGCGTAAAGCCTATGCTCACAGTAGACCATTGTTTCCATTGAATCGTGCTGGTTGCATTTCACAATTATCTTAAGTTGACAGATTTGTTTTTTCTTTACCTTTCACCCTTCTTTCAGCTTATATTTTCATTTATTTATTTTTTCTTTCTACAGAAAATCCTCTATTGTACCAGTGAACACCATGCCTCTGCCAAAATCTGTTGACATGGGCTCTGCCTTCATCCAGACGCAGCAGCTCAACGCTGCCATGGCTGACACTTTCCTGGAACATATGTGTCTGCTGGACATTGACTCTGAACCCACCACTGCACGCAACACTGGCATCATTTGCACCATTGGTTAGTCAAGGCTCTTCACTCCTTTTAAGTAAAGGAAGTGCCTTACAGGGTACTCTTAGTTTTTAATGGTTTTTGAATTYCTGCTTAGTAATTTTGAAATCTGAATATTAAGAAAATAGCTGAAAGCGTTTCATTATAATGATTGTAACTGTAGCGTGATGTTTAGCTTAAAGTGACCAGTGTTTAGGTTTTACCTTTGGAGCAAAGTTATCCCAGTATAAATAATGTCACTCAGCTAATTTGAGTCACAGTGACTTAAAAGTTTCATTGCTTGTTGAATTCTTATCATCCTTACAGGGCCAGCTTCTCGTTCTGTGGATATGCTGAAGGAGATGATCAAATCTGGAATGAACATTGCTCGCTTGAACTTTTCCCATGGCACTCATGAGGTAAGATTTTTAATTTTTTTTTAAATATAACCTTTTTGTACAAAAATGTCATGCACAAACATCTATTCAAATAAAAACAGCACAATTGAATTTTRCTGAACATTCCTACCAGACGTGCTTCTGTGCTCTATCGCTTTGGTAGTTGGTGTGTTGAGCTGTGGGCCAATCTGTCTTTGTCTCTTCAAACTGTTGTGAAAGTAGATTGTCAACAGGGTCATTGTGAATAAGCACGCAATGCATTATAAAGTGTAATCAGATGGCTATGGTAAGAAAGAGTAACRGATATATAAATGCAAACAATAGTTGTGGTTACTTGGTAAAGGTAGAGTTTTAGCTGAATAACCACATCCAGCTGATTAAAAACTCTTTTAAAGTGACGTGGGAGCAGACAGAGTGCTGACACAAAACAAAAGCTCACACACTTTTTTAATGGAGATAAAAGATAAAAGCTTGCTAATTATACAATTTTTACTTGCCATACATTGCATCACAGAAATGCCACATAAGATTTGTATAACAAAGTATACATTTTACTGTTTTTTTGTTTAACCAAGCAAATCCCATTGATTTTTTTTGAAAGCCAGCTGTTTAAATTTGTGAATTTCTCAGACCATATCCCAACAAGCAGCAGTATGGGTTCCAGCTGATTAGCATTCTCAGAATTTATCAAATTTATTCTGAGAAAGCTGTAGATGGTTCTTGGGAAATATAAGGTGATCTCAAGTAGCACTCTGCAGTTTTAAATTTCATTAATTAAGAATGGCGAAGGTAAACTGGGTTTTGGGAGACTTGAGAAAAAAAGCAGCAATTGCCAGTTAATTCATTACAGAAAGCTCTGGTTTCCCAGGTGGGGGAGCAGATATATGTCTTCAAAGCCAAAAAGCCTGCACTTACTGATAATTAGCATTACGGCATTAAAACGGGAATTACACTCATTGTCTTTTGTTCCGGGTTTCTCACAGCAGGTCTTAGATCCACTGTAATAATAATGGTAAAAACAAAAAAAGTAGACATTCAGGGAAACTTGGGCCATCTGTTTTATAAAACAGAACATAATATCAACAGAAAACGTACTAGTTAAATTTTTACACAAGTTTACTTGCAGGCTGGTTAAAACTCCCGTTTAGTTTTATTTCTGCTTTTGTTTTTTTCCACTCAGTACAAATTTCACACAGAAATGTGTTCTTGAGAAACGCTGCACTTCCTCTGGCTTACTTAAAYAGACTCTTTTTAACAGTGCTTCTCCCTGAGACTGGTAATTGTCATAAATTCCAAGCGTGCTGAAGGCCACATGCTAATAACCTCACGCTACATGAAACTGTTTCCATTTATTACTGCCAATCGCTTTTACAAGCTCATGCATCTACCTTAGCAAATGCAATCTTTTGAAACCTATACATATGTATTGAGGTTTATTATCTTTACTGTTTAAAATATTTTTTGACATTTAAAAGCCTTTCATTATGTGCCCCATGTCAGTTAAGGTTAGAGAAATAACTGTGACTCCTGGTAATTCTGACTCACTTTATGGTTGTGAGTTGTCAGACACACCTTGCAAGTTGCACCTGCCCTTAATTAAATGTCTGAGTAAAATGATAACCAGTAGTGCTATCTGAAAAAGGCAGTAAAATAATAAAATGGTGGACTACATGTCTCAGTGAAATAAACTACCTTTTTAAGTTCTTCAAAATTGTTTAATATATGAATATCTTCCTTTCTTTAGTACCATAGGGAAACCATCAAGAACGTACGTGAGGCCTGTGAGAGCTTCGAGCCTGGCAGTATCCATTACAGACCTATCGGTATTGCCCTAGACACCAAGGGTCCAGAGATCAGGACTGGCCTCATCAAGGGAGTAAGTTTAGCCTTGCTTCTTATTAATGGAGAAAAAAAAACAGATTGAAAGTGTAACGGTACATGTTTATGGTGTGACAGAGTGGCACTGCTGAGGTGGAGCTGAAGAAGGGCAACATGATCAAGGTTACCTTAGATGATGCCTATCAGGACAACTGCAGCGATGAGATCCTCTGGCTCGACTACAAGAACATCACTAAAGTGGTGGAAGTTGGCAGCAAGGTCTACATTGATGATGGGCTCATGTCTCTGCAGGTCAAGGAGATTGGTGAGGAGAAAAGTGGCAAACCGTGGTGGCACTTTTAATATGTGATACTTAAACCTACAAATGTTTTATTTTTTAAGTAAGTAAGTAATGTTTTGTCATCAATGGGTCATACACCACAAAATATGCCCAACCCACATGGGCTTATAAGACACACACATGTATATTCAAAAGTGCAGACAGAGACCAATCAACATTTTTTAAACGTAGTGTCCTATTTCTAACATGCCAGCTTTTTAAAAATAAACTGAGCTAATTGAAACTCAAAATGCTTAAATAAAAACTGCACTTTATCTTCATCAGCCTTGTAAAAGAAATCTGGAAAAATGTCAAGAACTTTATCTAATAACTTTATCTAATTAAAGTAGCAGATAATGACGTAGCAGTGTTTTGTTTTGAAGGAGAGGTTGTCTGTGGGCAGTTTAATGGAGTGGAGGAAGCTGAGGGTGCAAGGCAAGCTCAAAATGTCCTCAGGCTCTGAGACATAAAAACTTAAATCTGTGAGATTTTCTTGATATGTCTGTATTCATGAAGCAAATGAGGAAATTTTATGCAAGTTTTATGTAGGATTTTCACAGTTTTGACATTTCTCTTAGAATATTCTTGAACATGAAATCCAGTTCAGTGATCGGTCCATGTCAGGGATCCAGGATCAGCTTTGTGGTACAGCAAAGTGTCATAAATCAGCTCTAAGTCTGACACTTAAGATTTACACTTACACTTCGCTTAAAGTGAGACTGAGACACTTGATAAATGACTTTTAGGCCCAGCTTTTAGCTAAGTTTTATTTTTTTTACACTTAAGTCCATTCTTAACAGCATTGTTTAAAGAAATTCTAAAAATGATAAATACGGACCCAGGTCCATAAACATCCTTTATTAGGATATAGGTTTGTAATTTTGGATAACGTAAACTATCATCTGCCCATTTACACTTATAATCTTCAAAATACAAGTTTTAATTTGTTCAATTTTACATCTCAACTTATTTCTATAAATATTCTGAAAATTCGCCTCCTCAAAAATATCTTCTGAATTTGTCTTTTAAAAAACAAATTTACACTTTTTTTCCCCCCACCTCAGGTTCTGATTACCTTATGTGTGAGATTGAGAATGGTGGCACTCTGGGCAGCAAGAAGGGAGTGAATCTCCCCGGTGCAGCTGTGGACCTGCCGGCTGTTTCAGAGAAAGACATCCAGGACCTGCAGTTTGGTGTCGAGCAGGGAGTCGACATGGTCTTTGCCTCCTTCATTCGYAAGGCAGCTGACGTACACGCCGTCAGAAATGTGCTGGGGGAGCGCGGCAAAAACATCAAGATCATCAGCAAACTGGAGAACCAYGAGGGGGTCCGCAGGTATGTATGAGAACGACATAATTTGTGTGGCTGAGGCCAGGTCATTTACTCATTTTTATTTCCATAATGTGGTTTTGTTTGTTTTGTTTTGCTTGTTCGCTTGGCTTTGGAGTCCATGTGGACTTGATATGGTGCTATATAAGTTCAAGCCATTTAGCTTTTTATTTATTTATTTATTTATTTTGATTTATTTATTTATTTATTGGGCATTTACCTATATTTGTTATCTAGGCTGTAGGAGAAATGTATATCAAAATGAAAAATATAAAAGGTAAGTAATGGCACTAAATATGTTTAGAACTACAAACCTAATGAAGATMTTTAATGCTTAGATCCACATTACATTAATCTATTTTGTCAGAATATTGAATTAATGATGTTGGTGGGGGAAAAAATACATTAAAATTACATCCCCCTTGGTAAACCAGGATGGGAGCAGCGGCAGCTCTGCACATGCGTRATTTACTTGAAGCGGTCTCCATTATCCCCAGTAACCAGGTTTGCTGTGTGAGGCTTTACGGAGTCTGACCGCTTGTCAGTGCTTTGTAAAGGATGAGGGGCTCACATCACAATGCTGCTCGCTGAGGGAAACGTTGTTGCTAAAGTGTCCACAAAAAATTCCAATAACACCAGGAAGAGTTGCTTGATTTCTTGTGAGTCGCTTCTTGGTGAAAAGAGTCATTAGAGGGGTCTGCCATGAAGTTACGTAACATAGTATTTTATGAACCAACCTTGTTTGAAGTAATCTTGCAACTGTCATCATTTGTTGCTGTGTTTGCTGGTTTTACAGATTTGATGAGATCATGGAGGCCAGCGATGGTATCATGGTTGCTCGTGGTGACCTAGGTATTGAGATCCCCACAGAAAAGGTCTTCCTTGCCCAGAAGATGATGATTGGTCGGTGCAACAGAGCTGGCAAACCAATCACATGTGCCACTCAGGTCAGATCTTGATTTTGATGCTAGATTTACCCCCAAGWATAACTTTTAAGCAGATGTCTGAATTGACTTAGTAACTGCTCTCATCTGTAAATATGCAGCTGTGTCAGTTTAATTATTTTTTTTAAATGGTGCAGATGTTGGAGAGCATGATCAAGAAGCCTAGACCCACCCGTGCTGAGGGTAGTGATGTAGCCAAYGCTGTCCTGGATGGAGCTGACTGCATCATGCTGAGTGGTGAGACCGCCAAGGGAGATTACCCTCTTGAGGCTGTTCGCACACAGCACATGGTGAGTYCCTGGACATTGACATCAAACATTTAAAACTTGTTTTCTACTATTTGTTTAAATATATATACAGGGTTCCCACGGGTCCTTGAAATCCTTGAAAATTTGAATTTGAGCAAATTATTTCAAGGCCCTGGAAAGTTTGTGAAAACAGCCAAAAATTACACTTGTCCTTGAAAGTCCTTGAATGTTTTTTGGGGATCGAAATTCTCTATTCACACGACTGCTTTTCATCATCTTTTAAAAAAAAAAATAATTATAAAATTAAATTAAAAAAACGTACATTGGATAACAATGTACACAATGTGGATAACTCAGGATTACGGTAAAGTGACGTCATTGTTTCTGACTCAACAACTTCTATGTTGTTAAGTTTTTCATTAAATTTACATATTAAACGTGTTTATTGGTAACATTCTACGATAGCAGTAGGTAATTTCCGTTGCGCGTGGTTCTTTAATTTGTGGAAATTGGTACTGGAAATTCCTTGAAAGGTCCTTGAATTTTATGTTGACCAAGGTGTGAGAACCCTGTATATATCACTTAATGATTTTCATAATTTGTAAAATAACCGGAAAAACTAATCCATGAAAAATTGATCGTATTGAAAGTTTTAATTTATAGGTGATGATTAAGAATCATCTGCTTGTTCATTTTGCTCATTGATCCTGCCTCTTTGATCTCACTGCCGAGCTACAGAATGCTAAAGCTAATGTCAGCACCAATGCATCACGTCTTTGATTCCAATGATTATGCAGCATGATTCATTTGGTTTAATTTTTAAATTGTTAATTAGACTTCCTATATTTGGAAGAGAATTGTATAAACATAATTACTTTAACTTCATCTTGGTGATGCAGTTAATTCAAGCTCTTCGTGGAGCTGTAAGCACACGGACCTCTGCATAAAGTCTGCTCTGCATGTGGTTGTTACTTACTAAATGGCATGTTTGCACTTTATCCCCAAAAGTCTGCTTCCTGCCCTTGTTAATCTAATAAATCTTTAGCTGATGTTCTGTTCCACTTCTATCTTTGCAGTGAAAATCTAAACTTTTCAAACAAGGAATTAGTCTGCCTGATATATTTATAGAATTATTTGTTGGAGCATTACTGTTTTATAAAGACACTAGAAACAGCAGTTTCTAGTGATGCACTCGAGTTTCTTTTTATTTCACTCTCTAAGTTTGCCTGATATCTTCTCACTTGTATTTTTCAGTCAGGGACAGATGCAGAAAAGCAACCTTTTTAAGAACTTGGATCAAATATTGCGACTAAATCAGTCTAAATGAATATTTCTGTCAAAGTTAAAATTGGTATCRATTTCATAGAGGGGTCAATGCTTTAATGCTGCCATATCTGTCCTTCACTAACCTCTGTTGTTCCTCAGCCACAGTGCAGATGTCTCAGTGACTCAGCACTCCTAATGCTCCTGTTGTAGAGCTTGTTGCACTCACGCTGAAGCTGTATCACATATCTCAGAATCCGGAGTAAGCCCCACTGTTTATCAATCCCTGAGAACTAAGGGGAAAAATCTAATTGAGACTAACCTTAAGCCACTATTTTTAATGAGTAATCCAGTGCTTCTCTGTTTCTCCTGGCTGACTTATTTTTAACCACTTAACATTGTGTGTGGCATCAAAACCTTTCATATTTAATTAACAGAAGTCACTTTTTTTTCAAGGTTTTATTTGAGGCCCAAATATGACAAATATTTTACTTTATCATAAATGTTTGCTCTTTCTATAATATTATCTCATGTTCACAGCAGTTTTTAAATCCTAAATTAGATTAGAATGCTTTCTGTTTTTATTTTTATTTTTTAATTTAACATCATGTTAGTGGTTARGTTGGTATCCATTTTTAACGTTTATGTCTCCCTGTCCCCCTTCCACAAACTGTACACCTAAACTTTCTTAATTATTCATTTTAAACCGCTTCCTTCCTGTTACTTTCCCTTTTTTAACTTCTGATTTTGTCTCTCTTACTGATTCCATCTGTGTTTTTCCTCTATTTCTCTTTTTTTTTCTCCCCTTCTCCATCTTTTTTTTCTTTCACATCTATGTGCGCACCTGGTGTGGGATTGCCTTTGTCCGATGCATCTTGCCCTTGAGCCAGATTGCTCGTGAGGCCGAGGCAGCCATGTTCCACCGGCAGGTGTTTGAGGACTTGCGTCGTTCCACGCCACACTGCAACGACCCCGCCGAGGCCATTTCAATTGGCGCTGTCGAGGCCTCCTTTAAGAGTTTAGCCTCGGCAATCATTGTGCTCACAGGCTCYGGAAGGTAGGCAGGTTATCTGGCATTTGGCCCCTGTTCGAAGTCTGGATTATTTTAGAAGCCTAGGGAGGGAGAGTAGGGCCAGGCAGGAATTAATAACTGAAGTAACTGGTAGAGCTGGCAAATACCTCAACTAGACAATTTGTTTTACCATTTATCATTCATTTACCCCCAAACTAAACTACAGGCACAAGGAGAAAAATTCTACAATAAAACAAATGTTTTATAGCTTGTTTGATGCTTTAAACCTCAGATTTACTTCTCGGGTTGTCGAACCAGTAGTCTAGTTGCGTGTTTGCCAGTTACTCCCATTGGTGTGAATGCCCCTGTGTGTGACTGAAAGTAACCCCCGACCCACCCTTCCCTTGGGGGCGTAGATAGCACGAGAAGCAGAAGCAGCCACCTTCCACAAACAGCTGTTCGAAGAGCTGAGGAAGACCTCCCAAATGACCAGAGACCCCGCAGATGCTGTAGCAATTGGAGCTGTTGAAGCTGCCTTCAAATGCTGCGCTACCGGCATCATTGTGCTAACTAAGAGTGGGAGGTAAGACAAATAACCGGGTAGCGGTCCTGCTACCAAAGGTAAGCCGTTTCCAAACTCACGCCAGAGTTTTTTTTTATTGTGGCTTCTAATTCTACCTTCACCTCCCAATGTGCTCTCTGAGATCACCTTTAATTGTGTGTATGTAAGTGTGTGTATGAATATACAGGGTGAACAGAAGATAATGATTTTCTAAGAGTGAAAGTGGGGAAAGCTCGATTAAAGTGCCTGACTGTTGATATAATTTTATGAACATTTTAACTTACATGAGTGCAGTGGCTGTACAAACGTGACAAGAGTTGATTTCACCTGTCTTAGAAATGAACTGTGTGACACAAAATTCATAGAGGCAGAAAAATGTCTGTCTTTTAATTAAATATTTTCTGTGTTCTGATATAATGGCAAATATTTTGCTTCTTACAAGACTTAAAATTAGACAAATGGATCTTCAAATGAGCAACAAATGAGATTTATTTTAGAAGAAAAAAAAAGGACTCCAGAATTCTACAGGGAAAAGCATTACTTACAAGCAGAAAATGTTCACTTACCACCAATTTGTTTGTTTCAGCAAGCTCACCCTGAATTAGATCACACAACGCTTAGAGAAACTGCAAAAGATGTAATTTTTTATCACGGTACCATTGAACAAAAACTGATTTAAGTTCTGCTTGTTTACAAGAGTTGCAATAAGTATTTTATTTTTTTACTATATTTGTCTCCTGTTTCCTTGTTCATAAGCTGTTAGCCTCAGCTGCTGAAACAACAAAGTTTGATGGTAGATATCAGTTCACTTGTAACTGTCACTGCACTCTCATATGTTTTTTTATTTTTTATTTTTTATTTTTTTTTTGGCTGTTTTGACCTGTCTAGGCTGTGCTGACAAATGTACAACAATAAAATTGGACAATTCAAGATATTTTGTAGTTTGTTAGGTTTATAGATCTTATTGAATTAAAAGTACAAAGAAGTATTGGCAAACATATATGCCAGAAAAAGCTTTATTTCACTTTGGTGCTGGGTATGTAATCATTCTGCATTAATTCTTACAGAATATTTATTTGCATTGGATATTTAGTCCTTAGAATTGTGGACTCATTTGATTGTATGCTGAGAAACTGTAAAGTTAATTAGATTGAAAGTATCTGCATTTGTTTTTTATTGGAACACTCTTTGTATGATGATACATAAAATGTGGATCATGTTGGGTGTTTTTGTCATACTCAGTTTTGTCCGTTTATGTTTGTTTGCAGGTCTGCCCACCTGCTCTCCAGGTACAGGCCCCGTGCCCCCATCATCGCTGTGACCCGTAATGCTCAGACTGCTCGTCAGGCCCACCTGTACCGCGGGATCTTCCCTGTCCTCTACACCAAGCCCGCCCACGATGTTTGGGCTGAGGACGTTGACATGCGTGTCAACTTTGCCATCGAAATGGGTAAGCGACATCAGCCGGTCACCTTTTTAAAATGGGGGTGTCCTGATGCCAGTTTTTCTCGAAAAGAGTAAGACTACTTCAGTTTAGGTACACACCAATACAGAGTATCGATGCAGAGTGCTTACTGATATAAAACTTGTAGAATGATTATAAAAACTYATTTCTTTTACTTAGAACCTGGTACTAAATCAGATGCATATCTGATGTTTGTCAATGTGACCTCAGTCTAAATGATCAAGTTGCATTTCCACTTTCCATTGACCATGAAAATGCGCAAATTAGAATTTTGAAAATAAATTTGCTCAATGGAAACACGTCAATTTCGAAAAAACTTRTGTTTTTTGACAAAATGTTTTTGCGCTAGGATGAGGTGGTTTTTCAGCCGTATCAAAATTGGTGTGTTTCGTAAAACTGCAATGGAAACACTTGTTTTGCATCACGGGAGTCACATGATCAAGAACCGGCTATTTCTACTGGCGAAAAACGACGAAATAGCAGAGAACAGGAAGTAGAAGTAGTAGTAAAATCACCCAAGTTGTAAAAGAAAGTAGTAAACTCACTGACTACAATTTCCCAAAAAATGCTGCATACATAGACGCTCCAAAGTATAAGGGTCTTGTCGCTCGAAAGCCTCGATAAGACAACGACGTCTTTTCTGATGGCTGCTGATGAGCGCTAGTGTCATGGTAGTAATATGCACTGTTTACATCCATTGCCGCTGTGATGGAAGAATATCTTATGATTCCCTAACTGCATATTACCTTGACATGTCCTGTTCTGTATCTCTTGATAACTGCCATTATATAATCTGTTTCTCATGATTCTTAAGATACTGTATGTACTCATGTAATCTCATGGCCTATTTACTTGTAACTCATTCAATCTCATTGGTTCCTGTATATCTCCGACGCTCTTAYTTTGTTAGCAGGATGTTTATATATTGTCTGTTTCCTGTTTACTGGTCAGCGCGAGCTTGACAGATGTTTCGATTCACGTCTGTTCTGCTCTGCTCATTCCTTGCATATGCATCTTTCTATTAAATAATCTGAGACCGAGACCACACAGTTTCCACTTTATTTCCCGCATCCTGCGAAATGGTGCCACGACAGGATGGCGTTGTCGGCAGGAAATGGGTGAGAAGGCTGGGAGGAGAGATCAACATAGAGAGGAGATGGAAGCTGCTTCTGAGGGTGAAGCTGTATGGAACTCTCTTGATGCCAGACCAAAAAATCTCTCAGGAAGGATTCAGCTCTTAGATGACATCGAATGGCCAGAGTTACAGAGAAATRTTTTCTCTCCACCTGCAAGGAGAAGAATGCAGCGAGAGGCTGTAATCAAAACACCTGATAACGGCCAGAGAAATGAAGCAGTCTTTCTTCAAAACAGATTCACACCWCTGGAAGAAACTGAGTCTGAACAAAGTTCACTATCTGATCTCAGAGAGGGACCTGAGATCAGATCCAGCCCAAAGCCAAAAGTCCGAAAAGAGACTTTCAAGAATCATGAGAAACAGATTATATAATGGCAGTTATCAAGAGATACAGAACAGGACATGCCAAGGTAATATGCAGTTAGGGACTCATAAGATATTCTTCCATCACACCGCCATGTTTTTAATCACGTATTGTGAGAACAAGTGTGTTCACGCGTGACTTTAATAGCATTTCTTACTTAATGGAAACACTGCAGTTGCGAAACTGTATTTTTTCGACATTAACAGAATATCGACAAAGTTTTGCGCACATTTGCAATGGAAACACAGCTAGTGAAGTGGTGAGGGGTATATAGATCGATCCAAGTAATAATTATACTAACCTCGAGTCTTTCTGTTGAAGTCTTTTGACTCCACACGTATTCTGCTACAGAACAGAAGTCATTTCATCTATTTTTTCTTTGAATTTTCCATGTCCTGGATGACTGAGAATCCACAGAAACCTCTGATAGTAACATTGTGTGACCGTGTTGACACWAAAGTGGATCGATAGTTTATCCATTTTTACTTTGATCACGTTGTGTCACTCTCATTCCATAAATACACGCTTCACCAGAGCAGCCGACCAGAYGCAAGTTAAAATGTAAACGGTAAACTAAACAAGCATGTCAGATAATTATTTAATCTGCTCTGATAGACCAACAACTTCAAAATCGACATGCTAACCTATAGCATCCTTGGGTAGTGACCTGTTTACTTCTGTTAACAGCAAACTGAATATGACGTCACGTCACATCGATGCCATAAAGCATTCACACTTGAGTCTAATGGAGGTTGCATTTATAATGTGAACATCCTCGCGAAAAATTTTATGGGTTCCAGGGATCGGGGCTTTTTGTACAATTACAAGTACTTATAAAAAAGCTGGTATTGGGACACCACTATTTTAGACACAAAAGCTACAGCTTTACCTGTTTGTTTGTTTGTTTTTTTTGACCCAGAACTCTGTTCAGTCTTTTCTACTGTTGGATAAGACAAGTTTGTAAACATCTTCTTTTCCATCTTGTAGGCAAAGCAAGACGCTTCTTCAAAGAGGGCGACGTTGTGATCATTCTGACCGGCTGGCGTCCCGGCTCCGGTTACACCAACACCATGCGTGTGGTTCTTGTGGCCTAAACAGCCAACACAAAGCTTTGTCCCTTCACTTTCATCTGTCTCTCATAGTTCTCTAACCTAGCCCTYACTCCTCTCATCCAACATCAGGGCTCACAGACTCCACTATTTAACGTTTAGACAATGATGTAGAGAATTAAGCTTTAGAGTTGGTCTTCAGTGACCCCAGAGCTTTTTGGATGGGAGTGAAGATTAATTCCAAACTATTCCAGTTAATGTTTTCATTCCTTTAGCGTTGATTTCTCACAATCAGACCAGTCTTCAGGGCCTCAGATTAATACACCCTGACCAGAAACTGCTGTATTTATTCACTCCAACACTGGGATGATTCGAGTCTATGAGTGGATACATCCTGGTGTGTGTTTTTTGCGTGCACATTTTCATCCTGGCTTCTGTTTGGTTGTAGTTGCTGGTGGAGCCAGCTAACCTTAACGGGGAACAGGAATAGTTTACTTATCACACTCCTGCCGGTGTAACGAACAAAGTGTTTGCATCCCCTCCAGCACAGCCTCGACTTCACCACTGCACCCAAGCAGATCCAGCTGTAGTTCTGCCTGTTTAAGGGTCCTCTCTTATACAGCTGTGAATGTGTTTCAGTGTATGTGTTAGTGTTGCACTCCCAATCTGCTCCACACATTGTTACATTCTATACTATACTTGACTTTTGTGAATGATGGAACTTTTTGTTTGGAGACATTCAAATCTGATATATTTTGTCTGACTTTGGAGAAAAAAAATAGTTTTGCAGGTGTTTAAGAAAGTTACTGTTTTTTTTTTTTTGTGTGTTCTATGTGTTAGGTCTTTAAATCTTATTTTAATCTTGATTTTATTTGAGGCAGAACTTGTGAAGCGTGTTTGAGAAGGCTGTTGAACGTGGATTTTATGGTATTTTTCAGTGATGATGTAATGATGAAAGTCTGTCCTCTACAAAATGACTGATAGAATCCCTCTATGTTGGTGACCCACTGTAACTGTCTTCTTGATTCTAATATGCTTCTGATTGTAATAACAGAGTATAAGAACTAACTATATTTAAAGGGATATTATGATGTTTAGCTGGTGTACTAACCTGTCCCACAAGACTGGAGTTCCATCAATAAAAGAGATGAGCACCTATCCAAACTTGCCTGTTTTCATTTATTCATTTATTTTGTTTTTGGTTTTTTTCAACAAGCTTGAGTTGCAGTATTTAAACTTCACGCAGCCCGATTCTGGAAGACGTGAAGGAGGATGCATGGATGGACTGATGGAAGAGGGAAAATATGGATTCACTTTAAAATGAGAATTCAACAAATAAAATGCTCCAAAACCTGGCCTTTAGAATTGATCAGAAGTTAAACATTTTATTTTAGAAGTGAACATAAAATTAGTGACTATTTTATTGAAACAAAGAAGCAACTTCCTTTTTTTAATGGAAGGTACAATTTTTAAAGGAATGTTTTCAAATGAACATTACTATGCTAATTCAGAACAAATCATCAAAATGTCTAAAACTAACGTTTTGTAGTGTATTTCTACAGTAGATCATTTTTCAGTATGAAGTGTAAATTGAGTTTGTTGGGTATGTACTGGGTTGGTTAGGGTAAGGGATCAGATTTAGGCTTTAAACTGGGAAATGAATAGGAAGTCAAAGCAAAGTCTCCATGAGGATATAAGAACAAAAGTGTGTGTGTGTGTGGTTTTACTGGCAGTACTCCACCCCCACCTCCAGCAGCAGTTTGAGACATGACTGCTCTCCTTCAGCCCTGCAAGAAAACACAAATAGAGGTTTTGATGTTTCTGATCCCACCTAGTGAGCGATCTGCAGCACTACTCAGTGAATGAGTGCCTGCAAAGTCTAAAGCACTSTTGACTTAACAAAATATTTACACAGACTAGAATATGCTGACTGTCTCCTTTGAGCAGATGTCTTCTGCTTCATAACACACYCCTGTTGGGGAAGTTCAGAGGCAAAGGCAGTTCTGACCAAGGTTTAATGGTTTTGGATTTTTCATTATAGTTTAGTATTTTGTTGTGACTTTTTTCTTTTCAGTTAGTTTTTACAATGGATTTGCTAGTTTTTACTAGTTATTACTGCATTTTTATTGGTTAGTTTTAGTTTAGTTTTTATTAGTTCTAGTGTTAGTTTTTGTATATCTTATTTACGTCGTCTCCAACACGGTACCTGTTGTTTTTTTKGGGKTTTTTTTTTCCATGGGAGCTACTGAGAGAAGTTAGCGTGTCAGGATAATAGTTAGCCATCTTGTGTGAACTTGATTCATGCAGTTTTTCCCTTGAGAAGTATCCCACCTGTTTCCACTACAAGACACTTCTCCCTGTCATCATTTGGCAGGTGATGCTGAGCAGCAGCAGACWGTAGACAAGTCAATTTGAAAAAATTAATAAAAACATCCACATGGCTCAAAATAAATTGACAAACACTAAAACTATGGATATTCTGTCTAAAAGAAAAAAAATTGTATACTGTAGGTCTTCTGGAAGGGTTCTTCTCTAATGAAACGTTTCGTCTCTCCTCCAAGAGACTTCTTCAGTCTGAGAG